CGGACAGGAGCCCCGCGGTGTCCAGGAGCCAACGCCAACGCCAGGGTCGGCACGACACGAACTCCTCGCACTCGGGACCGATGATAATTGGCGGGGCGGGGGGGGGGACGACCAGCTTTCCGACGGAGCCATCGCACGGGAGCGGTCGGCTCTGTTTCCGCCCTCACGTTCCCCATTTTTTCTTCTCGTCTTTGCTGCCGCTGTCCTTCAGGAGGGAAAGAAACACACAGACACAATTAATCGTCGACTCCCAGGAAAATATGCAAAAATATGGGAAGTGGTGGGGAAGACAAAAACCCAGAAAATATGGGAAAATATGGGGGATATTTTTATTTGTGTGTATTTATTTGTGTGTTCCAGTTCCCCTTCAGTCCTGCCTTCTTGGGTCGATGGACTGGCGCCCTTTGCCCCTTCCTCTGCCTCCGCCTTGCTGCCCTGGCCCCGATGAGCAGTCTGCGCGTGATGCTTCACTGCTAGGCGTCCAACCTGCAAAGCCTGCTTTGGTTAAGGCTTCGATTGCGCCCGGAGCCAGAAGCATGAGCAGCGTCCCGAATCTCCGCCCCAACCGTGGCTCCCGACACCCGGGCACCGGCATCGGAGGGACATTCCGCACGCCGTTCTTCCGAGGCTGTTTCTAAGCACATCGCTGATACACCGAGCGGCGGTCAGCCCTGCTCCCGCGCCTCCTCCATCCCTCTATTCCTATATCTCGCCTCGTCTCAGTTTCTTCTCTTCGCGTAGAGCGACCACGAGCTAAGCAGCAGTATTTTGCTTAGACAGGCCCAGAGGTAGGATTCGATACGATACGGAGCTCGTCCGCACGGCACCTTTATCGCTTGCACTGGGTGCGGGCGCTCCAGGAGTGGCAAGTCCGTGCCACCCATAAATGCGTGCGATCCTGTAGTGCACACGTTATCAGAGCCCCGAATCATCAGGGGTAACTCGGGTCAGGGATAACTCGGGTTCGTTTTTCGGGAATCCAAACCCGAGTTACCCCGGACCCGAGTTATCCCGGATAACTCGGGCGTCCAGAGCCCCGAATCATCAGGGATAACTCGGGTCAGGGTTAACTCGGGTTCGTTTTACGGGAACCCAAACCCGAGTTACCCGGGACCCGAGTTACCCCGGATAACTCGGGCGCCCAACGTTAGCGAGGCCAGGCTTTCTCGGGCAGGCCAATTGGATGGGGGAAGGGCAGAACGAATGGAGGTGACCGAAGGCTGGCAGAGGCGTCCCATGGGACCGCTCCCGCGCGGGTGGATCTCGCAGCTGTTCGCACTCCAGTTTTAGCCTCCGCGGCACTTGTCTCGTGGCATTCCCTGATTTCACCCCTCGTCTCATCTTCGTCTCTCTGCGCTCTTCCGCGAAGGGCCGCGCCCATTCAGAGCGCCAAAGTGCGAAGCAGCAGGATGTTGCTCAGGGAGGCCCACGGGTACCGTCTGGTGCAGTACGCAGCTCGTCAGCGCGACGCTCTTCCGTCCGCACTGAGCGCGCGCTCCGGGAGTGGCATGTCTCTGCCACCCACACTGCGTGCGATCCAGCAGTGCACACGCCTGCGAGGCCTGGCTTTCGCGCGCAGCCCAATGGGGGGGGGACAGGAGCGACTCGAGTCTAGCGACGGAGGGGAGCGAAGACCGGCAGAGGCGCCACGCGTCACCGTTCCCGCGCGGGCTGATCGCCCAGCCGCTAGTTAGCGTTCCCAGTGGCAGCCTGCGTAACACTAGTCTCGTAGAATGTACTTCTCCCCCCCGATCCCCTCCTCCTCCAACTTCTCCACTCCCTCCACTCCTCCCCCGACGAACCACGACGTCCGGCTGGACAAAGGACGTCGATGGTATGAAAGTTCACCCCGCAGCTACATGCCGCCTCAAGACGTGCGCCGTCTGGCGAAAAGTGCGAAGGATGCACATTTCCCGCCCTTCGGGGCCCTTGGCATCGCTCGGACGTGTGCATTTTTTCTCGGCGAGAACCATCGACGACCATCCTGGACCATCGAGCAACAAAAAACACACGAAACCGAAACTTGCACGGGAAATGGGCGTCCGAGCGAGGCAAGGGCCACGTCTCCTGAATGCAACAACACAGAGTTGCTTCCTAGTGCCGTTGTCTTGGCCGTGCAGTGAGGACCTGCCTTACGCCGTCATCTCGCCGTGGCCCGTGGGCCCCACGCTGCAGTCCATTGCGGACCCGAGCGCGCTGGCGCACCCGTGGCTGCCGTCCGAGCTCTTCGCGTTCGCGCAGTCCGCGGGCCAGCAGGGCCTCGTCGACAGGCTGAAGCGCGTGCTGTACGTCACCCTCCTGCCGAGGTGCCTTCTCCCCTCTTCTTCCTCTTGTTCCTCTATGTCTTCTATTTCTTTTTTCCCATCATTCTTATTCGTCGTGCTCGTCTTCGTATTAGTAGTCGTATGGTTGTTATCAGTTGTTGTACTCTGACTTTACATTGGTTTGTAAGTCTTGTATTCCTAGTCGAACTTCCCATTATGATTAGTGATGTTAGTATTCGTATGGTCATTCGTCATTGTATCAGTATGAGGATGAACAATTTTCATAGTAGCGTTGTCATTAACAGCTTTAGTAGCATGTTTACTTTCGTATTCGTATTACTACGTTGCTGTTAGAGTGCGCCCGCTTTGGGGTATTTTTTTTGTTCGTGGTCTGGTTCGCACCCCGTTCGTATCGTCCGCCTCTTACCTCCTCTCCCTCTCCCTCCTCCCTCTCCTGCCTCCCTCTACTGCCTCCCTCCCTCCCCTCCCCCCTCGTCCTCCTCCCTCCTCCCCCCTCGTCTCCTCCGCTCATCCTCCTCCTCCTCCTCCTCCTCCTCCTCTCCACCTCCTCCTCCTCCTCCTCCTTCCTGCCCACCCCTCCTCCTCCTCCTCCTCCTGTTCCTTCCCCCTCGTCCCCCTCCTCATCCTTCTCCACGTCCTCCTCCTCCTTTCCCCTCGTCCCCCTCCTCCTCGTCCGCCCCTCTCCTCCTCCTCCTCCTCCTCCTCTCCTTCTCCTTCCTCCTCCTCCTCCTCCTCCTCCTCCTCATCCTCATCTCATCCTCATCCTCATCCTCATCCTCCTCCTCCTCCTCCTCCTCCTCCTCCTTGTCCTCCTCCTCCCTCATCGTCCTCCTCGTCGTCTTCCTCCTGCTTTCGTGACGCAGAGAACACACGAGCGAACACACAGTGGTTGTCCGAAAGAGCAGCGCGTGCACAAGAGCGACCAGACGGGCAACGAGCGGCGGAGAAGGGAGAAGAGTGGAGAAGCCCGCAGGGGGCACACAGTCGGCCCGGATTAGTAGGTCGACCCTGCCAAATCAGGGGTACCTCTGTGTCCTGTGTCTCGCGACCCGTGCCTCCTGCATTCCTGCGGCAGCGTGGCCCTCGTAAGGGTCTCGTGTCCTCTCGCGTGTCCTGTCCAATCAAGTCCGGCTGCACAGGGGAGCCCGACACGGCGAGGTCTCCCCAATCTCTTCCTCCTCCTCCCCCGGCGAGGACGGCCCGCTGCTCCCGCCCAGGCCGCGGGGCCGGCCGTCCGCAGGCCGAGGCCTGCAGAGCACGGGGGAGCCAGGATCGAGCGGCCCTTCTGCGCCCAGTGGGTCTCCGTGGGTCGGGCCGGACGAAAGGGGGGGATACCCTGGCTCCTGATCCGCCGTACTTTGGATGATTTTCCGACCTAAAATTGTGTCGGAAATCGACGCCAAAGGAGCCTCAAGGGCGGAAATCGACGCTCAAAGGGGCCTCAAAAGTAGGGCGGAAATTTCCGCCCTACTTTCGAAATCGCCCAAAGTAGGGCGGATCAGGAGTCAGGGTAGGGAAAGGGGGGGTTACGAAATTTGCTGCATGCAGCTGGTTCCGACCCCACCGAGGGGCCCACTCCTCGATGCACGGGCGCCTCCCGGCGCCGGGAAAATCAGCTACGTGAGCTGATTCTCACCCCCCCCCCTTTGCTATCCCCCCTTTCGCCCGACCCGAGTGGGGCTCTTTGGGCCGCAGATGCAACCGAAGATCTCTCGAGCCGTTGTTACGTCGGCCTCGGCCTCGGCGTCGTCGTCGTCGGCCGCGGTCGGCCGTGGTCGGCCCCAGAAAGCAGGCCACCAACGAGCTCTCAAGGATTCCTCTGCCAGGCTCCAGAGCATGTCGGATGCCGTCTAGAGTCTGGCCTCGGCGGCTGCAAATGGCGCAGCAAGCATCAAGGCATGCGTGCACGCCAGCAGCAAGTCATTCTTCCGCTGCCAGCGCTTCATGGCGTTGCGACGATGTCCCAGACAAGGGCGGTACCAAGAAACTCCCGCCCTTCCGGCGGGCCCGCGTGAGCGTGTTCTGAGTCTCCATGGGGCCCCTGCCAGTAAGAGCCGGCTGCGAGTGGATGGCCTGTTCGCCTGAGGGGTTTGGGTCTTTCTCCTCCTCCTCCTCATCCTGCTCCTCCCCGTTCTCCTGCTCCTCCTCCTCCTCCTCCTCCTCCTCCTCCTCCTCCTCCTCCTCCTCCTCCTCCTCCTCCTCCTCCTTCTCCTCCTCCTCCCCCCCGCTCCTCTGTGCGGCAGTGTGTCGATGGCTGCGGCGCGACACGGACCTCGGCTCGGCCCCTGCCCTCCTGGTCGTATGCCCGTTCCGCCGCGTGCCCCCGGCCTCCTGGGCTCGCTTGCTCCCCCTCCTCCTCCTCCTCCTCCTCCTCCTCCTCCTCCTCCTCCTCCTCCTCCTCCTCCTGCGACAAAAATCGCGACGTCCCCACAACTCACGACCGGAACCCTGGAGGGAAGGAGGGAAAACGCCATGGGCATGAAACCTTTGGCGCTCCGCGCGGATGTCTTGGATCCGCGCGGATGTCTTGGATCAGCGCCTGCGGCGCCGCCCTTGGCGCGCTCCGCGCGCCAGGGAGGGGGGTGCAGCGCAGATCCAAGAAATCCGCGCGGAGCGCCAACCGTTTCTGTTTATGGTGTTTTTGCTTCTTCTACTTCAGGCGGCAGCGGCATTCTGCAAGCCTGGTCAACCTGTGGTGGTCACGGGGCTTGAAAAGCCGGGTCAGAGCGAAAACGCTAGGAGCGAAATAATGCAACGCCCGCATCGAAGGGTCCTCCCCCTCCCCCCCGGTTCCTCTCCTCCTCCCCCCACCCGCTTCCCCAGACCCCCGAGGTCATGATGTTTTTTTTTCATGACGTCGACCCAGAGGTACCCACGAGGCCCAAGGAGGGCCCCCCAGAGGCCCAAAGTAGCGCACAACCTGCCGCCGCGATTTTTTCATGACTCGAGGGGGGCTGGGTCCCTCCTCCTCCTCCTCCTCCTAGCCCTCCTCCTCATCCTCCTCACTGCTCCTCCTCCTCCTCTCCTCCTCCTCCTCCTCCTCCTTCTCCTCCTCCTCCCCCTCGGCCCCTCCTCCTCCTCACCCTCCTCCTCCGCCTCCTCTCCCTCCTCCTCCTCCTCCTCCCTCCCTCCTCCTCCTCCACACCTCCCTCCTCCCTTCCTTCTCCTCCTCCTCCTCCTCATCCTCCTCCTCCGTCCTCTTCCTCCGCTCCTCTTCCCCCCCCTCTCCTCCTCCTCCTCCTCCTCCTCCTCCTCCTCCTCCTCCTCTCCTCTCCCTCCTCCCCCTCCCCCTCCACAATTACACAATATGAAAATACTCTCCCACTTCCCCTGATGGCGTCCCGAAGATATCCGACCCCCCCCGCGTATTGTTTTTTTACACACAGGATTCCGGGAAACGGGTTTTCGCCTGCGTTTTTTTCAAAATGTTGCTCTCGCTGAGGCGCCGGCCTCATTTCTGCTCCCGAATCGTTCCGAATCGTGCTCCCGCTGCAGCGTGGGCCTCATTTTTCGGATCGGTGTTTGGCCTCCGTCGTTCAGGATGGCGTTCTCGCCCCAGCGCGGGCCTTTTTCTCGCGCGCCCATCCGCCCGCCACCACCGCGCCGCACCGCCACCACCACCACCATCACCACCACCACCACCACCACCACCACCACCCCAACCACCACCAGCACCAACCACACACCACCACATCACCACACCAGCACCAACACCACCACCAGCACCACCACCACAGCAACCGCACCACCACACCAACACCACCACCACCACAACCCCACCACCACCAACACCACCACCACGACAACCACGCACAACACGCACGCGCGCACGCGCAACCACCACCCACATACGGCACAGCGCGCGGACCACAGGTCCGCTATACGATGCGCGTCCGCGGATGAGAAAATCCGCCATGTTAAGGGATGGAGGGAGGGGTAGGACGTCAGATATGACGCGAGCGCACCTAGCTTGCCCTCCCCCTCTCCCTCCCTCCCTCGCTCCCTCCTTCCCTCCCTCCCTCCCTCCCTCCCTCCCTCCCTCCCTCCCTGCACAGGTTCATGGCCCTCGCGGGCTTCCACGAGCCCCGGCGGCGGCTGCGGGCGGAGCTCGGGCTGGCGGGCGCCCTGGAGCTCCTGGAGGCGCCGGTCCGCCGGGCGTGCTCGGGAACGGCCATGCAACAAGGGGGCCCGGGAAGGATATCGGCGGCCCCAGGAAGGGGAGGCCTTACACGGCTTTCGCGCCCCAGGGCGGCACCCTCCCTCCACTGCGGGGGCCGCGTCCGGGCGTCGGGGCCATGAAAGAAGGGGCGCGGGAGGCAAAACGGGCCCCCTGGGGAAGGGGATCGGCGGGGAGCGATGGGGGCGGAAGCGAGAAGGAGCAGGCCTTGCCGGAAGGCGGTGGGGCTTCTCGGGAGCCCCCCCCCGCGCCTTCTGAGAGGTTGTTGTGGGCCTTCGAGGAAGACTTAGAGGATTGCTCAGCAGGCCTGGGGACTTCGGAACCCCCTGAGAAGCCCTCCCCCCTCTCGCTTCCCCCCCGGGCATGCCGCTGCACTTCCCTCGTTTTTTGTCCCTGTTTCGGGCCTCCCGTGAGGCTGATTAAAAACTGCTCAGCAGGCCAGGGGACTTCCTCTAAGAAGGCCTGCCCCTGCTCCTCCTCCTCCTCCTCCTCCTCCTCCTCCTCCTCCAACTCCTTCCCCTCCTCCTCCTCCTCCTCCTCCCCTCAAGCCACTCAGGCCCAAACGAGCGCACCAGGGAGGTGCGCCGACTTCGGGCCGACTCTGGTGCCTGCGCGAGGCGCTTGAGGCACTTCACCCCGCTCCTGCCAGCAGCAGCGAGCAGCGTGTTGACTAAAGCCAGAGCTCACTCACAGCATGGGGCCTCGACCATGGACCCGCTGCCGCGGCTGCGGCGCGTGCGAGTACAATGACAAGTATGACCAGCAGAGGCCATCATGCCCAAAATGCCATCGACGTATCAAACTACACAAAGGCGGAGCTCGGTCACGATCCCCTTCTCGGTCCCCAGGACGAGTTCAGATCGGCGACACCGAGTTCATCCCCCTCCAAGACCTTGGAGCCGCCACGAACTCCAGGCACATCGGAGGCAAGAGAAAGGACAAGGGCTCCAACAACGTCGTCGACCATCTCCAGTCCGCCCTAGACGAGGCGACCGACCCACAGCTGCGCGCCATGCTCCAGGCCCAGATCACCAGGATCGAAGCCACCGAGGAGAACCGCGCAGGCCAGAGCCCCGTCACCACCGTGGAGGCCATGAAGAAGGCAGACGGAGCCTGGCGTGCCGCCTCCAACAGGCACACCCAGCTAGTCGCCAACGTGCTGAAGCTCAGGGGGAACCTGCGGACCGCCGAAGCCAAGGAGGCGGAGGCATCGCTGGAGCTCGCACGGGCGGAAGCCATCAAGAAGAAAGCAGCTGCTGCTCTCGCCCAAGCCGAAGGCGTCGGCCCGAACGACCACAGTGACGGCATGGGAGGCGACAGCGGCACCGTGTTCTCTGTCACCTGGGACGCCGAGCTCTTCGCGGAGACCGAGGAGCTGGACCTGGAGGAGTCAGAGCGCACCGAGCTCACCAGCGTCAGGCAGGCGCTGGAAAGTCTCAAGAAGCAGTTCGACGAGAAGGAGCCACAAATGAAGGAGCTGATCAGCCGTGCCCACGCGGTGCGGAGGCAGCAGCAGGAGCGGCTCGCCAAGAAGCGCAAGGGCACCGACGGCACGACCGCGTCGGCGCAGCAGGGGGCCACCGCGGGGGACACGGCGGGAGGCACCAGCGCGGCCGACGGCCCGCAGGCGACAGCCCCTGCCCCCGACCCCGCGGCCGCGGCCGCCCAGGAGGAGGCCATCAAGCAGGAGGCCAAGAAGCTGTCCGAGGCGAAGTTCGCAGCCCAGATGGCGGCCGCGGAGGCCAAGTCCAAGGGCAAGGGCGGCACCACGGGCGCTACGGGCGGCCCAGCAGCAGGGGCGAAGCCCCACGAAGCCCGCCGCAGCGACACCGCCTGCGGGAGCTTCAAGTGGCGCAGCGAGCTCTTGACTAGGGGCTGCGGCAGAGCAGCCCGAGGGGGCGCCCAGCTACCAAGCCGCGGGCGCCTCGACGCAGGAGGCTGACACCGCCAAGACCTCCACCTTCCTGTACAGCAACATCACGTGTATGGGGGACAAGGCGTGGGATTTCATCCTCACTCAGACCTCATACGATTTCTTCGGCCTGGCCGAGACGCATATTGGACCAGCTGATGTGGGCAGGTGGTCTGGGAAAGCTCGAGGCCACAATCTTCGCTTATTTCATAACGCTGCTCGCCCATCTTCCAAGGCGGCCAGTCCCGAGGTACGACATGATTCCCCAGGTGAATCGCAGTCAGGAGGACACGCAAACGAAGGAGGTGAATGGATTTTAGCTAGGGGGCACTTGCAAGCCCACATTTGCCATGAAGCAATTCAATCATCTGCGCTCAAGGCCAAACCCAGTGGCAGCCTTGACGGTTTTGTTCCATGCGTTCTGCATTTTAAAGGCTATACGCTAGTCGTTGTCGTTTTCTATGGGACCTGCAGTGTAGGCCTCTCGGGCACCAACCTCGTGAGGTACAGGAGACTAGGGAGTTTCCTCAGGGCCCTTCAGCTTCCGTGGGTTGTCATAGGCGACTGGAACATCCCACCGCACACCCTTCAGGCCTCAGGATTCCTCGGAGAAGCCGGAGGCGTAATTAAGTGTGCAGACGTCGAATATACTTGTGACCCAGGCGGGGGCAGGAAAGCCTCCCACCTGGACTATCTCGTTCACAGCCTCTCCGCTCGGTCCTACATGCAGCAGGTGACCCCAGTGCATGATGTACCGTGGCGGCCACACATTGCACTCGTCATCCATTTTGTTTCTTCGGGAGAGCAGCTTCTCACCCGCATCATGGATTTGCCCCGTCGTTTACCAAACACGGTTCGGCCCTCGAAAGTTCCCACCCCTGGGTCCAAGTCCAGTCTGGCCAAGGCCCAACGGGCTGAGAAGGGCGCCAAGGGACAAGAGCTTCGGGACCGCACTTTCCACGCTGTTTTCGGAGATTTAATGGGCGAGGCCGACGATGCCGAGTCCACGCATGCAGGGGACTCGTCAGGCGAGGACGAGGACCCAACTTTCCCTGGTTACGCTTCAGAGGCCGAAGAAGAGGACCCCTGGGCAAGCGAGACCGTGTTCAGGCCAGCTGCCAACGTCGCAGCCGTCCTCCCGTCGCCCGCTGAGGTGCCAGCAGTCGCTCCCACGTGCGAGGGGAAAACAGAGCCCCACGGACCTCCTAGCAGCCCATCCAGCGCCTCTAATTCGGCCCAGCGTGAGAACCCCCCGAACCTGCTAGGACCCAGGGGATGGAGTCCACACGTGCCAGCCAGGTTTCTGATTTGCAGCAGTCAGCGGAGGGGGCCTCCGACCCAGCCAGACAGCAGCCGCCATACGATATCCCGAGTTCCCTCTGGAACGAGCATCGTGTGCAAACGGGGATGCTTAACCCCTCTTGCTGCTGCCCTGCTGCTGCTGTGGCGCATTCCGTAGCCTTTTCGCTCAAACCTGATACCGCACTCACCCTCGGTCAGCTCTACGGATCGTGGGTCACCACGGTCGAGGCTACCATCCACAGCCACCATCTGCAGGGCCACCTCGGCCGCTCCAGATCACAGGGGCCCGAGTTTCATGTCGTGACGGTGCGGGAGGCCCAGACGAAACGGGCTGCCGCACTCAGTGATTCGAGCTGCCACGTTGCAGCACATCTACCGTCACCGAGCACGTGGCAACGGCCTGCGTCAGCTACAGCAGCTTCATGAAGCAGTGGACCGTCTGTCACAAGAAGCTCCCGCAGGGGCAGCAGGCATCATCAAACCCAAGGACGACTTCCCATGGGCGAAGTGGCAGGACATGCTCAGCCACATCCACACCCTCCCCGTCGAGGAGGTCGTCGACTACGCAGCAGCAGCTGGTTTCCTTGCCCGACGCGCCCAGCGGCGAGCAGTTGGCAAGTCTCTTTTCGCATTCCGCGAGTGGGCAACCACTGCCCCAGCCTTGAGCACACTACATCGATCGCTCAAGCCACAGCCACAACCAGCTGAGTCGACAAAGGTGGGCAACCATACCCTAGTGCACCCCATGGACTTGCTTGACCACAAGGTCACCTGCTGGCACCAGCTTTGGGCACCAACAGGACATGCACTAGGAGGGCTCCCCGACCTTTTCCAACACATCGTCGACAAGATTCAAGTTCAGAGTCTCCCACCACTCTCGGGAGAGGACGTACGCCATGCCCTACGACGACAGCGAGCACGCACAGGGTTAGGGGCAGACCGCCTCAGCCCTCTGGACCTCCTACGCCTCCCACAGGAGGCACTGGAGGAACTCGCCAGTCTCTTCAACATCATGGAGCAGTTACAGATGTGGCCGCACCAACTCCTCATGACCATAGGAGTCATGAGGGCCAAGAAGGACAACGGAGACCGCATCGTTGGACTACTACCCGAGATCGTCCGCTGCTGGTCCATGTGTCGTGAGGACGCATTTCGTTCATGGAACCGCGAAGGCCATGCACACTGGGACGCAGCGATCAGGGGGAACTCAGCTCTGCGGGAGGCCTATGAACGGGCCCTACACGAGGAGCTCAGCGCCTATGCAGGGGCACCCCAGGGCCATGGACTACTGGACATTTCACAATTTTACGATTCTATCAGCTGGTGCGACCTCGGGGAGCAGGCCCTCGAGCTGGACTTCCCAGCGGAGGTTCTGGGCCTCGAACTCCTTCAGTGCATCGCGCCCAGAGTTCTTACCCAGAGCGGCAGTTACACCTTACCATTCCAACCAACTCGATCAGTGGTTCAAGGACTTAGATATGGCACCCGATTCGCTAAGGTCATCACCTACAAGGGGATTCGGAGAGTGACTCAGGTCCATGCCAGATGCTCCCACCGCATCTGGGTCGACGACCTATCCCAGCGCATGCAGGGGTCTCGAGAGGCTATCAGACGGGACCTCTTCAACTGCTTGCTGGACACTTGCCGCGCACTCCAAGATCGCGGGCTCAGCATCGCCAAGAAGAGTGTGATCCTCTGCTCCGGCATGGACGACTCGAGGCACATCGCGCGCCGTCTAGCTCGCCAAGGCTTCAA